CACCCCACAAAAAAAAAAAATGCATAAAATAAAGAGTAATGTAAGAATTTATAGTGGCTTTTTAGCTATAAACCCACCTTCCCTAACAAGGCCTCATTACAAAGTAGGACCATATCTGTTTGGGAACACCCAAAAATGTCACATTTTCTCTAAAAAAATTTGTCCTTAGTTATCTTTTTCCATCACCAACACTCCGACCACCCCCCTAACCCTATTGCCACCACTACCATACAACCACCACACCGCCATACCACGACCACTTTACCATAGTTGTGACCACAATCACTACCACTACCTCTACAACCACCAAACCACCACCACCGTTACCACCATTATTACTAGAACCACTACCCTACTACCACTGCTTCCACCACCACCCCCATTCTCTCCACCACCACAACCACTATCTTACCACCACTACCACCACGTTCACAAAAACCACACAACCACAACTATCATGAAAACTACCACTCTGTCTCTACTCCCCCCCCCGCCGTCGCCGCCGCCACCACCACCCACTCGCCACCACCCACCACCCGCTACCGTCACCTACCCATCCACCACCACCACCACCCACCCGCCACCACCCACCACCCACCGTCACCACTTTTCACCACCGTCTTCTGCCGCCACTTGCTACCACTTGCCATTTCTCACTCTTTTTTATATTTTTAAATTTTTTAAAACATTTTGTCAATTACCAAACGCGTTTGTAGTTTATGTTTTTCTAAAAATAAACAAAAACCAATTTATAAAATTTTTGTAAATATAAACTGAAAACGTAAACGTTACCAAACAGACCCTAATTTTTCCACTGTTCTTGAGCTAGATGAGGTTTTCTGGTTTCAACGTGCTCGAGCAAACTGGTTGAGGGATGGGGACCGTAACACGGCTTTTTTTCCACACAAAGGCTACACAGCGGCACAAGAAGAAACATATTTTGGGGTTGGAGGATGACCAAGGTCGTTGGTGCACTAAGGAAGTAGAGTTAGGAAGAATAGCGGTGGATTATTTTGAGAAATTATTTGCAACCACTGGACATAGTGATTTTGGTGGAGTCCTTGAGGCAATCACGTCTCGGGTTTCGAATGATTTGCAAGCTATGCTAGCTAGAGCTTTTACTACTTATGAGGCATATAAAGCCCTACATCAAATGCACCCTTTAAAAGCTTCTGGACCTGATGGGAAACATGCGTTTTTTTATCAGCATTTTTGGCCGATAGTTTGGGCTCATGTGACCCGAGCGGTCCTAGACATTTTGGATGGATCTGATGATGTGGGTGAGATAAATGATACGTTCATAGTCCTCATTCCAAAAGTGAAGGAGGTACGAAGGATGACGGAGATTAGGCCAATTAGCCTTTGTAATGTGATTTACAAGGTTATAAGTAAGGTGCTAGCCAACCGCTTGAAGAAGGTTTTACCGTTTGTTATCTCGCCTACTCAAAGCGCCTTTATTAGGAGCCGATTGATTAGTGATAACATTCTGGTGGCATTCGAGGGGTTTTATTTTATGAAAAATAAGCGCCATGGTAAGGAGGGCTCTTTTGCACTCAAGCTTGACATGAGCAAAGCTTATGACCACGTTGAGTGGGGTTTTATTCAAGGGGTTATAAAGCGCATGGGTCTGGCAAATCGGTTTGTCACAATTATCATGAGATGTGTTTCAACAGTGTCTTACTCTATTTTGCTTAATGGATAACTGACTATTGAATTTCGTTCGACTAGGGGAATCCATCAAGGTGACCCGTTGTCACCTTATCTCTTTGTTCTATGTGCAGAGGGGCTGTCGGCATTAATTAGAAGGGATGAAGAAAGTCGGCATCTTACTGGTGTTGCCATTAGCCGAAGGGGACCTCATATATCTCATTTATTCTTCGCTGGTGATAGTTTGCTTTTTGAAGTGGCTAAACGGGAGGAGATTCTAGTTATTCAAGAGATATTGCAAAAGTATGAACAAGCATCTAGGCAAAAAATTAATCTTGATAAATCAGCCATCTTTTTTAGTGCCAATATGGGGAATGCTGTTAGGGAAGTTTTGCGTCAAATTCTAAATGTGGATATCATGGCGGACTCTGGCAACTACCTGGGGTTGCCATACCTCATTGCCAGGTCAAAAAAGGAGGTGTTCAATTTTATTAAGGACAGAGTTTGGAAACGGGTTAGTGACTAGAAGGAAAAACATATTTTGGTGCGCGGGTCGAGAGGTTATGATAAAAGCCGTAGCTCAGTCTATTCCTACTATTGTTATGTCATGCTTCCAACTCCCAGAAACACTTTGTGCTGAAATTGACTCGATTGTATGTCGGTATTAGTGTGGGCAACGTGGGGCCAAGAGGAAAATTCATTAGACCAACTGAGAAGCGCTGTGTTGTCCAAAATGGGAGGGAGGAATGGGTTTCCACCAGTTGGCGGCTTTTAATAGTGCTCTGTTGGCGAAACAGGGGTGGAGGCTCCTTAATTTTCCTAACTCACTGTTTGCTCGGTTGATACGGGCTAAGTACTATCCAACCTTGAATTTTTTGAAGGTAGAGTTAAGGTATAATCCCTCGTTTACGTGGAGGAGTATTTCCAAGTCTAGACCCCTTTTGTTGGCAGGTTTAAGGTGACGTATTGGGGATGGTCACACCGTTCGAATTTGGAGGGGATAAGTGGCTACCTCGGGGTCTTTTTTTCCCTTTCAATTTCTCCTCCTACTTTTCATACTGATTCAAGGGTGTGTTTCTTAATGGATTCGGATCGAAAGTGTCGGGATTTGGCAAAGTTACAGGCCCATCTTCTGGATATTGATGTGGAAGTGGTTCGAAGAATTCCTGTTAGCCCTTCTCTTCCCTCTGATAAGTTGATTTGGCATTATACTCGAGATGAATGCTTCTCGGTTCGGTCGGCTTATCATCTCCAAACAAATCTATCAAGGATAGGGTCACATTCAGAATCGTCCAATATAAGGAAAGCAAAACGGTGTTTTTGGAAAAGGGTTTGGCATTTATGAGTTCCAAACAAGATTAAGGCTTTTGCGTGGAGAGCATGTTTGAATATTATTCCACCCCGGGACTGATTATGGCAACGACGTATCCCTATTGATCTTGGGTGTGACTGTTGTGACACAGCTGTGGAGACATTGATACATTGTGCTAAGGAGTGTGAGGTGGCGCAACAGGTTTGGGCTTTGAGTCCCTTGCCATTGGTTACGGATATTGGAGTGGGCTTCGAGTTTTATCATTAGGCGGTTGAGGTTAAGAAGAAAGTTGATGAGGCGGGTTTGGGGCTCTTCTTTGTGCTGTGTTGGGGTCTATGGACTGCCCATAACCAAGCTATTTTTAATATGTTTGTCGGGTAGCAGCGGAGATTGTCCAGAAAGTGTGTAATTATATTCAAGAATTCTGTCGAGCCAGAGTCTGCGTACAAGGCTTGCTGGTCTATGCTACCCCGACACAATGGAGGCCACCGACGGTAGGTGTGCTCTAGATTAATTTCGATGCGGCAACTTTTTTTGAGCTAAAGGCCATTGGGGTGGGTGTGATAGTTCGTGAGGCACATGGGAAGGTTATTGCAGCCATGTCCGAAAGACTTCCTCATTGGATTGATGCGGGTTGTGCTGAAGCTTTGGCGGCAGGCTGACTTTACAGGCACTTCCATCAATTGAAAAGGACAACATGCCTATACTGAAGGTATGGTATTTGATTAATTCTGAGTGTTTAGATGTTCATTCTGCAGTCAATTCAGGTAATGGGTTAGATGCTATTAAATTCAGTTTTTGTGTTATTCAAAAAAAGGTACTCGAATTTCTTCTTGAGCGAACTTTTTGTGTTATTTTTTTCTTTTTTTATCTTGATTTTTTGCATTCTTATTAGTGAACTTTTTTGTAGTATTTCCCAGCCAAGCTGAGATGGTGAACATTCCAAATTGAAGACATTGATTTGAGAAATCATAGATTTTATTTTATTTTTCTTTTTGTGATTGATTCATGCACTTGTATAAAATACAACAGGGATTTGTGGGTTGCAAAATCGAATTGCTTCAAAAAAAAAAAAAAAACGAGAGTTTATGAAAAATAAGAAATAGTTGGAGTTGTATGTTTTCAATGGAGTTTGATACAAAACAATACTGCTTCAAGATCTATGTTGATAAAAGTCGATGCCAATTAATGACTTTTTCAATGTTTGGCTAGATTGTTAATTGAAGGAATCAATTTGATGATGTAACTGAAAATCCAAGGAGATAGTAGCGATTTGCTAAGGGATTTCTTGTGAAAGATATTGATGTGTTTTCAAGGTTGGTATAATAAAAAATGGGTCTACACCATTGATTTTTTGTTAAACAAATGGTTTGTGTGGTGTGTGTACAAGAATGTTAATTTATGATATAATTAGAACATGTGAGGTGTGAACTGAGAACAAAAACATAAAACCAATTTCATAAGAGTGCAATGAGAAATTATATACACAGAGATAAAAAGAGTATGAAAATGGAATTTCCCCTGAAATAAGTGTCTTAAAACTTTTACTTTTTTGTATGTCAATAATACCCTTCTTCATTTTTGAAAAATCAATCCATAATCCAATTATCACTTGGAAGTTAATCTACAAATAATAACTACTAATAATTGTTGCTTGAATTTTAAATTTTTATTTATATAACTGAAATATTTGCATGAGTAGAAAACGTTAATATAAATAACAATAAGACTGCATACACAGTACATAACACATAAAGCAATCCGTAACTATGCATATCGCATTGTTAAACCCATCATAAAAATACAAGTCCACTAAGAGAAACATATCAACCACAAGATAGATGAGGTATGGTTATATTGAACACCCAAAAGTCCAAAAGACAAACAAACTGGTTTTATTTATTTATTTTTGATAGAGAAAGGAAACATAACATATTAGAGTAGTAGAGATGTAGAGATGTAGTAGTAATTAGTAAGGAACTAGAGGACTAAGACATAAATAGCATAAACGATCCCTGGAATGTAACCCAATATAGTCAGCAACAAGTCGATCCAAAACTCCACCTGCATTTGCATTTTTACCACCCTCCCATTATCATTAGTACCAAATTTAGCCACCCATATATATAGGTTATATATACGGGGACTATTTAAAAAAATATAATAAAATTATATGATTATAATAATCATATCAAATTAATTTTTTTTTGTAAATAATATATACACAGAAGTCTACAAAATAAACACAATGCATCATCAACTAGAATGAGATCTGAGATGAGCTATCGAATTATACATATGATCAAGAATGATTTGTTCCCAAATTTCTTTTTTTCTATCTCAACGTACTCTCAAGTCTCAAGCCTTGGTGTTTGGGTGTGTTTGGGGAGGGATGGAAGTGTATTTGAGAGATTTCGCAGATGAAATATATATATATATATATATATATGAGTATTTATTTGCATAACACATCATTCAAATATCAATTATTAAAAATAAAACAATTATTCAGACATCAAATATTGAACTAGGTTTTTATTCAGTAATTAATATCCAATCTATAGATTTTTATTCGATATCAATTCGAGAAAATAGTGTGAACTGGGCATATATAAATTCCCAAAATGTACTTCAATCATTAAGGCCTTATATGTTATAATTTTAAAAAGTCAAAAAAATGCTATCTTATTTAAATCATATCACTTTTTTATCACATCACTTCAAATCTAATTCATATCTAACCCATATTTCATAAAAAATAAAAAAATACACTTATTTAGATCATTTCAAAACACTCCTAAATTATATGTAAATTTTAAAATACACGAATTTTAATTATTAAAAAAAGTGTATTAAAATAAGAGTCATGATTCAGACTCTCAGTACAGAGCACCCCAACACCCCACTTTCACGTGCAGGGCTGGCAATAGAGGGAAAAAAAAAATAATTTTTGACCAATGGGAGAGCAACCCCATCACCCCACCCTAGGGATCCAACTCATTTTCGTTAAAATAAAAAGAAATATATATATATATATATATATATTTGGGTAAGGATAAGAGATCTCATGTCAAATCAAAGACAACCATGGACTTGGTTTACAAGGAACGATTTTTAAGGTAACATTTGGTCTGATTTTTAGAACTTAATCATTTTTCAAATTATGATCATAATTTGAATCAAAATTTATATCTAAATAAAATTTTAAAATACAATTTAAAATTATTTTCAAAACTTATTTTCACTCTTTTTTTTAATTATTATTATTAATCAATCAATCAATCACTTTTTCTCTATCTTCTTTCTCCTCTCTTATCTATTTATCAATCAATCAAAAAAAATACAAATCATCTCAAAATTATTTTCAAAACTCATAGTGAGCATTTGGAAAGTTATTATTTTAGTAGACTATTTTAATTTTAGACTATTTTAAGAGACTAAAATTTTTATATTTGGAAAGATAATTTGTAATTGGATGTGATATTTGTGGAAAAAAAAAGTAAAATGATTATGAGTTTGATACGACATTTTATCTTATTAGTTATTTTAGTCTATTTTATCTTTTAATATTATTTTAGCCAAAAAAGCTAAAACAACCCAAACACCTCCATAATCAAACAATTTTTTTCTTTTTAAATCATAATTTAAAAATTCAAAACTTAAAACACAACTCTACGCTCAAATCATAGTTATAAAACCAAAGTAAACAGGCCCTAAGTTTTTCCAAAATAGGCCTACGTCATTATAACAGCTTAGATCTATGAATTGTTTCAGTTTTTTTTTATATTTTTCCCCAGTTTTCAATTTAAACCTGTTTCAATTTTCAAATTTTAAATTTAAATAAACCTCTTCACAATTTTATCCTATGCACACACACATTTAGTATTACTCTATTTAGTGCAACTTATTATAAGTAAAAGCTAATAATCTGAAACTCCTGACTTCCAAATAATCAAATTTTTTAAAAAAAATTTAACTTATTTTTACTCAACAAGCTATAAGTTATACCAAACAGTCTGTTTTTAAATTAAAATAAGCTATAAACGCGTTATTTTAGAAGTAAAAAAAACTCTTTATATATATATATATATATATTTTGAGAGAGAGAGAGAGTTACCCCAATGCCATAGCGAAAGAAGACACCAACAGGAGGAAGGACTATGGCAAGTAGGATTTCAAGGAAGGTGGCTGAACCCATGATGATGTTGATGCTCCCTTGCTTCCTAATCCTTTTCTCTTCTTGAGGCTAAGAACACTGAAAGAGTTTCTTTTCTTCACTCACTCAACTTTTTAATAGAAATTTTGGAATTGAAACTGGCTTAGGCTTTGTTTGGTGAAATGAGAAAGAGAGGAAGTGAAGCTCTAATCATATAATTGGATTGGAGAGAGAGAGTGTTATATAATTGGATTGGAGAGAGAGAGAGAGTGTTATGGGTCTTCTTCAACAACAAAGCCCTCCAAGAGGCCACGTAGTTGAAATTCTGATACACCTGTCATGCAACTCTCTACTACACAATTTGTTCTCTCTCTAGAAAAAATGATAGACAACCGACTTAGATTACTATTTTTTAAAAAATATTAATTATGTTTTTATATATAAAACATAAGATTTATGTTATTTTGATCTCTAATGTTTAAATTATGTCAATTTAATCTCAAATATATAAAATGTATTTCAATTTGATCCCCTAACTAAACTCAACCAATAGATGCAGTTAAAATCAAGAGTAAAAAGATAATTTTGGAGACGAAAATAACAGAGATCACATATTTTAAAAATTAAAAATGTAATTTTTTAAATGAATGTCCACATTAATGTTACATATTACATATTTTGGAGATTAAAAGTATAATTTTTTAAGTGAATTTTAACATTTATTCCTAATTTCTAACAAAGTTTACTGAGAAAAACAAAATCAAAATATTATATATTAAGAAGCAAATTGACACAATTTAAGAACAAAAAACTAAAATTACACAACCCCACATCTTAATTTTTTTTGCCGATCAAAATGCAAAAAAGAAATTGTGAATAAATTAAACATAAGCTCAGCATAGGCTAAAATATGAATTGGGTTCTATTAATGGTGAAAGGAATTTTAACATCCAAAACATTACACCATGTGAATGAATTAAGATTCTTCCACCTTGAGATCTTCTATTTTTACACAAGCCACTTTCTCTCGGTTCACATATTTTTTGAAAAGAAAAATTGAATATAAACTTATGAATAAAACATATATGAATTGAAAATAAACTTCCAAACTAAAACTTATGATTCAACTACATCTTTGATTTGGAAGTTAATTTCTGAATCATAAATTTTCGTTCAAAAATTGATATCTAAACTAAAAATAGTGTTCAACCTGACAAAAAATTATGTATTGAAATAAAAGCTTTGGTATTCTCAAGTTCTAAGATTCTTCCACCTTGAGATCTATTTTACACGACACTTTCTCTCAGTTCACTAATTTAAAAAATAATAATAAAATAATAATAATAATAATAATAATAATGAATATAAACTTATGAATAATCATATATGAATTGAAAATTATGAATTGAATAAAAGCTTAAAAATCACTTAAAAAATATATAGTTGAGATTATTATACTATTACATTTTTTAAAATTGCACATGCAATGCGCACTACAAGAATTAACACTTTTGGCAACAAAAAAATTGGTCGTTAAAAGTCTATTTTTGGTCGGCAAAAGTTATCCACGACCAATTTTTTTGGTCGCTACTTTGGTCGCCAATTGAGGGTCGGCAAAAGTAATTCACAACCAAAATTTTGGTTGGTCGGCAAAAGTTGGATTTGCCGACTAAATTTTTGGTCGCTCAAATCCAACTAAATTTTTGGTCGCTAATTATTTAATTACTGCGACTAATTTATTTTGTCGCTAAAACACTTTGGTCGCGAAAAGTCGCCTTTTGCCGACCAAATTTCTTAGTCGCCAATTGACACATTTCGCGACCAAAAAGTTTAGTCGCCAATTGTGACATTCCGCGACCAAATATTTTGGTCGCCAATCGTGACATTCCGCGACCAAAAAGTTTGGTCGCCAATTGTGACATTCCACGACCAAAAAATGTTTTAGTCGCCATTTGTTACTTTTCGCGACCAATACTTTTGGTCGGCAAAAGTGAGTTTCCATGACCAAGAGCTGTTTTGGTCGGCAATAGATGTATTTTTTGCGGCCAAAACTCTTGGTCAGCAATTGTCATTTTTTGCGAAAAAAAATTATTTATTTGTCGCGACTAATAAATTGGTCGCCAAAGCAGGAAAACAATACATCTGTAATTCCTAATAGTTCATTCAATCCATAATAAACCTATAATTTTAAAGCATCATTCAAATTAACTGAATCAGTAACATTCAATCACAATACATAATTCATTAACATTCGACACAATACAACTATTCTAAGTTTTCATTCACAAGTCACATCCATCTAGCATAACAATTTGAAACATAACTATTTGTTATCCATGCGCAGCTATCAACAAATGAAAAAAAATATATTCTAGTCCAAATGAACAAAAATCAATCATAGGTGTGAAACCAATCAATGCACTATGCTTGAAATTGTGAATCAGCTTGATGGATTTGATCTTTAGATATCTCTTTAAATCTCAAGCTCGAGCTTACCAGATTCAATCTTTGCTCGGTCCAAAAGCTCATTTATTAGTGAAACCAACGCTCTTTCACTGCCCTGTGCAGTTCTGAATAGTCTTGTTAAGTTACATCCAGATCTGTGTCCATTAGCATCTGCAACATTCCTGTTGAATAAACATATATACAGACATCACACAACAACCCCACTTTCTTTGTTTATTTTTAAATAATTTTTTAATGTTTTCCCCAAAGCAATGTATTTAAATGACTTAAAATGATAAAGGACAATAACAAAAACTTACCAAGAACACCATTCATTGGGGTTCTGATCTCATGGGACACAGTAGCAAGGAACTACAGAGGATTGAAATTCAATTAGAACCATGTAGACATATTAGGTGAAGCCTAACAAAATTTCAATACATGAACTACAACTATCAAATACCTGTGATTTAGCAACATCAGCTGCCTCTGCTCGTTTCTTCAGCTCCATCATCTCATGGTAATCATCCTCAACTTTGGCTATTCGGAAGATATTTAAAAACTAAATCAGAACCAGCATGGTTTATGCTAAAACCAAACAATGTATGCAGAGACATAAAAGTAACACCTACTACTTTGCATATTGGAAGGTTCCAGGTCCTGCCAAATTTAAATAGTATCTCAGTGAGAATGTCGTTCAATGAAAAAGTGTCTGCGTGTGTGTGTGTGTGTCATTCAACCATTATTTAATTATCTACTCTATCAAGGGCTATATGCTCACATAATTAAATAATTCATATATTCCGCTTCTACCATTTCCATTTACGGTGATCATCACTTGTAGATGACTCAAGGTTATAATTTTGCATGTAATACAGTGGCATCAAAATGATAACCATAATGATATACTTGGTTCTATTGATCTTAAGGAAATGTAACACACAAACCACGCCTAGGCCAAAGAAGTCCAAACCCACAAACTTATCTCCAAAAGGGCCTGACTCACGAAAGAGTGATGGAGACTTATTGGCTCACTAGGGTGGGACAACTACTGGATGTGGGCCGAATACACTTTTCTGTCCTTTGATCTTAAAGAAGTATAAAAGAAACAGAGAGAAACCATATCGGAACAAAAATAAGTCCAAACTCATGCACTACCTCCAGAAGGGCATAACACTAAGATGACTGGAGAGTTATAAGACCCACTAAAGTGAGACAACTATGCGATGAGGGACGGGATACACTTTTCTTTCTTTTGTTCTTAAGGAAATCTACAGATTGATAAACTACACCTGGCCCAAAGAAGTCCAAACCAACACACAAACACAATGATATGCAAGTATCTTGTTTCTTTTCACTTTGTTTATCTCCAGCTGCTTCAGTAATGAATTCAATTGATAATAGAATGCAGCAGCATACCTCCTGCAAAATATTTTTCAAGACAGAATGGGTTACTGAGAGAACCTCCTGCATAAAGAAGCTTTGTATCTTTTCAGCAAGACCAGAAACATCCTCAATCAACGCATAAGCATCAACCACCTATAAAGCGTTGAAACACTCGTATCAAGAAAAAAATGAAAACAACAAGAATGCTGAACAACAATTGTTACTTTCTTTCTTCTTTTTACCATTGTATTGGCTAAGTTACTTGTACTGTGTTTCGTGTGTGTGTTTAAGCAATGGACATGTGTGTCCCCCATGTATCAGAAGTGTGTTTTGGTCTAAAAATAATAAAAAATAATAATATAACACATTTGAATATATGCCCAACACATGTCAGGAAGTGTCCGATGAGCATTGGTTTGGACATGGACATGCGCCTTGGAAGTGTCCATGCTGGTAACAAGTCCATTGAAAAAACCAACCACGTAATGAATGCATAAAAAGATGTCAGAGAGCAGAACACATCAAACATTGCAACAATGATTAATCCCCAATCAATAATTACTATAAGAAAAGAATTGTAACAATTATTTAATAATATCCAGTTTTGACTATTGACTAATGATATCTAGTACTGAATATTCCAAAAAAAAGTAAAACCAAAAGAATTTTAACCTAGAATGATTGAAGCAGAAATTGCATTCCTGATGCAAAATCCAAAAAATCAAAAATAAAAAGACCAACATGTGGGAAACAGAGTATAAAAGCAAAGAAAGAATTGAGAATTGTAACCAATTTCCCCAAGAAATAAAATTGACAAGACCAAGCATCTTCTGGTTAATATAAAGTATACGGATCATTATACAGGCCGACAAGTTGAACATCTCAATAACAATACCAGATGATGCAGTTAAATCACCATACATGTTCCAAAGTACATTTCCTTATATTACAAAGAAAACCAGGTATCAATTTATAAAAAAAAATAATTATTGTCCTAATTAGGTCAACAATTGATCCAAACCTAGAGCCCGCTTGAGCGCTGATCGAGCAAGGCAATTTTGAGCTTTTTGGAAAATAAAAACGTGCTCAAGCTCGAGCTGGAATCAAGCCCACTTCATGTGGGACCTTCTGGAGTTGAAACTCCAAGAATCCACCAAACCAACTCACTTGGGTTGTTATACATGCCAATACAAAAGTTGTACATAGTTTCTAAGAATCCCATACTTCTTTTAAGAATTAGAAGATCCACAACCTCCATATTTAAATTGCAAATGAAAATCTCATTCCACAAGTAATTTAGTTTAATCTTTGTACACCTATATCAATCTTTAAAATGGAGAGTAAATTAAAATTTTGGGAAAAAAAAAATGTAGAGAGTTGTAGAATTCTAAAGAAACAATGTAAAATTTTAGGTGAGAGAAGATGGCATGACAATTCCATGACTATAATGATGGATTTTGTTCTAGCAAACGTGGGTGTTTTGCAATGTTTAAGGTGGTATGGATTGAAGCAAATAAGATCGTTAGCTATAAGACACCATTTTGGTTTCCTAAAATAAATTATTGGTGAAGTTCAAGGATGTAGTGAGTGGTGCATGGTGGTAGAAGACAACAATGGTAATTGTTGTGGTGATGGTTATAGTGTGATCACTTGCTAAAGATGGTTTTGTTGTTTGGTTGTTTTTGTTTCGGCCATGTGGCATGGGTGTCATGTTGGATGGTTGGGTTTGATGAAGAGCGGAAAAGAGAGAGAGAGAGAGTTGAAAGATTGGGCGACAATGGTCTTGTGAGGCTATGGTCGCGAAGTGTGGGTGGCAGTGTTTCGCACTTATCATCATTCATGGGGATGATAATGGTACGTTTGGGTAAAGGGAGATGACAGCATGGAATCACCGAGTTTACTCAAGAAGTGAATCAGTAATTTAGCAATTTATTATTCGAAAAAGTCATTTTAGATAGAAAGGATAATATAATAAATTCATTGCTTTTCTTAGAGTTGTTCTTGATAGGGTGGATCAATGTAATTTTGTCAAAACATAGGGGTGTGACATAATCATATTAAACATCAAGAAAGGTTCGTGTAATTCACCCTTTATTTTATCAGTCATAGTCTTGGTTCCTTAAAGATGAAATTTTAATATTCAAAGGTCATGTTTTCTAAGTTGTCCTCAATACCTATTCAAGACAATAAAAATATTTTCAATTTTGAAACCAGACCTTTTTCATCCCCTCTTCTAACCACACGACCAAATAAAATAAAACTTGTAATCCAGCCTCCAAGTAATGTGATGTAATAAGATTTAGTTGTCTATTAGAATGGCCAGCTGTGCATGAGCTAACCATAAGTGCTTAGTTGGGTCTTTAGTCTACAAGTAGGCGGTTTAGGCTCATTATAATCAGTTTGTGACATTTTGAGATTGTATCTATTGAGCTAAGTGCTCTTTATCCCTAATTTCAGCATTTTCTCTGTTATGGAATCCAATTCCTAAATTGGTTTCATCATTATGTCTCTACCTATAAGGGGTCTGTTTAGTATAGCTTCTCGTAAGTTGAAAGGTAATCATCATAACGAAGAAACTAAAAGCATCCTTCTCTCAACTTTTCAATAATCAACTTTTTCAGCTTATTTAATGTATTTTTGCCTCATAAAATGTAAGTAGCTACACCGAATACTTTGGCACAAATTCTCATAATAAATAAAAATTATAAGTAGCCCAATAAATGGCCTCAACTTTATATCTGTTCTTATAAAAAAAATAAAAAAGCCATTTATATTCTTTTCATCACATTACACCTCATTTCATTTACATCTGTTTCACTTTTCTAATAGCTGCTCCCTCAAGCCTACATGTTCAAAGAAGTTACATGCAACTATGTGCTAATTGAGAAAATTAATTGTGGTAATTTTTTTTGAAATACCTCAAGACACAGTGATGCAGGTAATACTAACACATGAGTTGCCACACATATTTTTACTAAGCACACCACTCTTATCATAACTGCAACAAAAGTGTACCCAAACGACCTAATCTGCTGATGAATTTCGAGGAGTAGGTAAAGAAACCCAATTTCCAATCCAACCAATAAAATTCAGTCAAACCCCAAATCAACACTAGTCAAGGTAAAAAATAAAACAATAAATAAAAATATAATTTTAATTAGATGCATAATTCCCTCTAAGTTCACCAGCTCAATTTAGTCTATTAATCGATATGCAAAATAGAAACCCAAGTCAACACTGATGATGTTGATCAAAATTCAACACTAGCTGTGAGTTCATTAACTCAATTTGGGTACCTAAAAAACTACATTACTGAAGAAACCCATGTAGCAAAATACAAACACACATAAATATGTATGTAAAATAAGCATAATGAGGGATTAATTACCTCGGGACGATCGGAAGTGGAAGGAAGGAGGCCGAGAGATCCGGCAGAACGAACTGAGCTGAGAAGCTTCTCTCCGACCTTGGAGAAATCCATGCCGCCCCCTTGGAAGAAGAGCAACAAAGCGAAGAACAAAACCCTAGTTCCCTCGAAACCCCCGTCGCTCAAAGCGAAGAACCTCTTTTGCTAATAGATTTTAGATGTGGCCTTGGTGGCAAATGAGGTAGTATATATATAGAGAGAGGGAGGGAGGAGAAACAGGGGTAAAAGGGAAAAGAGGGCTGATGGTGGTTGTTCACGGTGGAGAAGGAATATACTCACGAAATGACTTCTGAGGAGTCCATTAGCAAAGGAGGTGAGAACAATAATTAATTCCATTAGTAAAGGAGGTTAGAATTGAAAACAAGATTGAAAGAAATCCAAATCGAAATCTAAATCTAATTCGAAATTAGCTACACATATTTGTATGTATAGAGATATAGAGATATATATATATATATATATAGAGAGAGAGAGAGAGAGAGGTTACCATTGTTGCACTTTGATTTGTAATGATGCGCGACAGTGGAAGGTCGAGGGTGAACGACGGTGGAAGACCGACGGTGACTGTGAACGGCGAATCAACGATGGTGAGTCTGAGAGAGAGAGAGAGAGACAGAGACAGAGAGAGCAAGAGACTGAACTTGTTTGGGTCTATCTACATATTGATAGAAAATAAATTGGGCGGTAATGTAAGAGTGTATTCCCACCAAAAAATGAAACTGTGTTTTTGAAATT